CCAACTCCGACCCCGTTCCTCCGACCGAGGATATGCCGGACCTTTGCTCACCTCTCTTTCCCGATCAACACGGTCGGGGCCGACTGGGAACGACCGACCAGGACGCCTGCTCGGTGTGGGCCCGGGGAGCAGGCGGAGCAGATAAGGTAAGGCGCTCAAGTCAACCGCAATACCGAGAACCATACCCTGCCATGCCCTGCACACCTATAGGACAGTGCCGTCAGGCCATGTCAGACGGACATTATACAGCCTGCCAGACGCGTCATAGCACAAACAATATTATGGGCGCCGTCGTTTGTCGTCCCAAGCGAACACTGTGTAGCCTGCTAAGTACAATAGGTCATGAACAGTAAGGTAGGCGATGGCGGCGTAAACAGTATGGCGGGCGATGGCATGCCGTACCCGACGGCGTGGGCGACAAGACTAGGTAGCACCCGTACACACTCTCTCCCTTTCCGTCTTTGACTTGTAAGGTCATTTCTTTCATCTATAAAAGTGGATGCGCTCTCTCCTAAAAGGACAAAGTCTGTATGCTCTCAACAGCGGATAAACTTGGACACACAGAGCATACGCTCTAATACTTAGCGCATATTTGAGCATCCGTCACTCTCTTCCACTCGGATCAGAATCTGACCGGATCTCTAACACCCCCTTCTCATTCCTTACTCGTTTGTAATCCCAATGCAAACTTCGAGCACCTGGGCTCAGGAATAAAATCATCGACCGACTGAAATTGGATGTAGGGCACGTTGCGTGAACAAGTATAAATCATGTGTCATCACGTGCTAGGCCACATCCGATCACAACGACGATAAAACCTACAAATATTTACTTGTCGGTCACATTTCGCGCCGACAAAACGTTGTACCATGTAATTCTAAAAAAAATCTATTTGTATGATTTATTATCTCTTTAAGAGGTTTGTTCAAATTCTCATATGATAATATTGCAGACACATCTAGAGCTGAGATAATTGAACTAAAGACACAGCAACATGCAAAGCCACTGACCTCTAACTTATGAGACACATCACTATATAGGCCCCGTTCGCCTATCTTAAATTTAGCTTATTCGGCTTATTTTTTCAGCCGAAACAGACACAACACTTCATAGCTTATATTTTTCGTGGCGAAGCTTCGCCCAAATGAACCCATAGCTTATAAGGACGTAGTGACCTTATTGCCTGCCTTTCTAACGATAACTGGCTTGAACTAATCTTGCCTTCCCCAAAAGCCACTCCACCCCGCTCCATTTAGACCTTTGATATGATTATATATATAGTGCTTAAAAAAGATAAAGGACTTTGGCTCTAAGGCAGGGCCAAAAATTTTACTAGCTTCTAACGACATTACCACAACAATTTGTACCTTCTAATGACATTACCGCAACCATAAGTTTTTTTACCGTCCCAAAACATGTACACAGAAGAGTCAACCGAATCAACCAATTAAAACAGCCATTAGTAAAATCTTTTATTTATTAGTAATTAAGTAATCCATTCGAAACTTCAATGGCACCATCAACTCTACAGTACTGTATAATCCCCAGAACATAAGCTAAATTTGTCACCATAACGGCTAAAGTTGCCAACAATAACGACCAAAGTTGCCAGCCATTAATAACCAAAGTATAATCCCCAGATCATAAGCTAAATTTGCTCAGTACCAAGATCCAACCGACTAGACATCAATCGGCTTGTAAAAATGATTTAGAACTGACTCGGGGATACCACCTTCGTGCAGTACAGCAGCCTTCTCATCAGTCATCATCTTGCTTATCAGCAGCGCGTCCTTTATACGCACAATCTCATGAAAAGTTGGGCGCTTGTTCTTCCCTACTTTCTTCTTTTTGAGAACAGTTTCCGAGATCTAAATCCTTGTGGCCTTAATGTCATTCAAATATTTCATCTTTAAATTACGCAATTGCAACTAAGATTTGCTGAACATCAAATCAATCTCCACATATATAAAAACTAGCACCCCACAAGAATCTGCAACTTTTCCTACTGACGTGGGATTCTCTAGGCATTTGGCATGAGCAGAACTTTATGTAGGAGCAGATCTGTACACGGAAGGAAACTTGCATGTGCACTTGAAAAATAATTTGTCCCGTGTGAATCAATGGACAAACGGAGATTTGACTGAATATTAGCTAGACTCAAAAGCTTCTCCGCTAGCCCAAAACCGTAACGCTAGCCCAAAACCGTAAATCCCATCACCTCCGTTAGAGCATCTCCTAAATCAATGAGTTTTAGAAGTGGCTAAAAAAAGTTGGGTGCATATTGGTTGGGTTTCTTCAACAGTTTCTAAAATCTAACTCCTAAAGTATAGAAAGCAATTTTGCATCAGAAAATCCAGATTATTTTTAAACCACCGAAATACTTTTATATTTTTTTTTCTCTTGTATATTTGCATTGTGAACCCCATTCTGCTTCTTATTGTTCTCCACATCCTTCCACCTCTAGATTAGCCGGTCGATACGCAGCACGTATATTTCCGCGCGATGGAGTCGGTTTTTTCAAGTGCGGGAAGATTGGGAGTTGAGATAGAGAGTCGTTGGAGAGCAGTTTTTTTTTTCAATCTCATCAGAAAAATTAAGAATGGGAGTGGGTTTAGAAACTCTTGGATACGGTCTTAGTTTTTGCGCATGGTTAGGATTATTAGCCAGTTTTGGAGGGTTTAATGAGCTATATGGGCTTTTTTTAGGCAGGCTTCCTAAGGGGCCACCTCTGAAAATTATCCTATTTTCAAAGACGACCCCAATAGAAAAGAAACGAGTGTGCAACCGATTAAAAACACCCGTGTCGTGGGTTATACAGATCATTTCTTAAACATTGATTACCGTCCTCCCCTCGTAGGAACCCCACACAGCTACAGAAACAAGCAGCCATAGCCCATAGGATGTCAACCACAAAGCCCATATTTATGATACGTCCATCATATCCCCTCTATTTTGCTCGGCTACATGAGTGATTGTTCTTCTTCACTCATTTCTGAAGATTTTGTTGGTTCTTTTCTTTCCACACCTTTCACATGATGTAAAATGGCGACCGTTAAAAACTCTACGTTTTTGAGGGATTCGGTAGCCTTGCCCCACCACAGGATGATGCTACACCAAAATTTATCAGTTGGATGCGCTGGGATGTCAAACATCATCATTCAGGTTGATTGACTAATGACCACTACTTCTATATATATAAACATATAAGATTATTTTACCTATCTGGTCTATTTGTCCCACGATTAGTACTTAGATAGGCATTCGCTCACTTGGTTTCGCTTTTTTGAACTTTATAAAAATAGCCGACAGTTGAAACTGTAATAAGGATTGGTTGCGTGCAAACTTGCCGGAATTAAAAAAAATCTTTTTCTAAAAAAATTTGTCACACGATTCTGAGAGGCAACCTCGTTGAAAAGAGATGACTTCTCTCATCCTCTCTACAAACAGGATCTCACTGATTTGGCTATCTATGATACGGCTGATGCGCGACTTGTGCACATGCCTTCACATTGTTATCATGCACGCCAAAAGCCCATGAGAAATCGCGAAGTAAAACAGATGGCAAAGATGCCAACACGATAGCAGCAGCAAGAACAATGATGAATGGAACATTTTGGATCAACCACCAACCGCACTAGCTGGAACCGGGAACACTGCTACTTTCTCCAACAGAATCCAAAACAAGTTCGCGACGGCAGATGCAGATAATATTCCTGCAAAGCACAGAGAAGACACCAGTATATTTCTATTCCGTGGGATGGGAAACATTCTCTCACAGCACGCAGTACTATACTACATGTAACATTGCAATCCAACTAGTGCAAATAATTGTGCCAAACAATTGACACTTTCTGTAAAGCAAGTGCCAATGTATTCATTCACAAAAAAAGGACTCGTCATATTAATAAACTGACTTGACTTTATCTTGATTTCGACCAAAAAAAATGTCCTTTTGTATCACTTGCCAATGATCCTTCCAGTAGTGGTTTCCATGCAGGCAAGGTAAGCTACTGAAAGTCTGAATTACGACCTTTGCTATCAACAAGTAGTCAACAACAGGTGAGGTGAACCTGACAGAGGTGTCAAACATCCATGACTGATGATAACAATCAGATTAGTAGCAGTGACAGCACAGCAGGGTGGAAAGGAAAACCAAACCCTGCCGTCGACGGCAATGAACAGTGATGAAAACAGATGTTACCCACACACACCCCTCCAAGATAAAAGGTGGCATGGCAGCATGCATGAATCCTGATCACATGTTAAGTCAGCCTAGTAGAGGAAGAATATACATAGCTCCGTGAATGAACCAGTAGTAGTTTGGCCAAAACTTTAACAGGCAGTTCTTATCAAGACGGCGACTTGTAGGCAGAAAAGCGAAGCCCAGGAGGAGCACGCTCCCAGTAGCAGCGAGCCGATCATCGCACGCTCGGCCTCCATTGACCGAGACCTCCCCTCCCACTCTTAAAAAATTTAGACAATGCAAACTATCACCCCCCACCACTCGCCATCGGCATCACCTTCCATCTGAACATTCTTTCAAATTTCATCAACCATTTGCTCAGACTTACAACACATACATCAGCATTCAGCAGGCCTCTTTTCATTAGTCCAAACATCCACTAGCAAAAGGGCGACCACCGGCCCTACCACCAAAGTGTATGGCTAGTGCACTACAGACCCAAAAGGAAATAAACAGCATGAGAGCAGGCCAGACTCTCTGGTACCTCTACCCATCACTTGCACTCATAGGCACATTGAAAGATGTATGCATGAGCATGAGCAGAATATGGAGCTTACCATATAGCCTTGCAACCAAAGCTGCTTTGATTTGAAAAAAAATAGGGAAAGGGGAGGCTACATCATATACCAATTTAAGGTCCTTTCCTATCTCACGGTTAGCACATTGGGACACTCGGTATATCATACACTTCTTTGGATATATCGGTGCCTAATAGTATTAGGGGGTTCAAATGCACGCTAAAGTTGATGTTACTATACTACGAGGATGTATTGGGCTCATGCTTCAGTGAGTGGCCATCCTGGGAGTGTTGGGTGTCGTAGATTGCCATTGCAAGCGAGATCGGCATCATGCATAGCGCTTTGGATTGAAGGAACTGCATCGCTGCCCCGATGTCTTCTTCCATCAGCTTTGCTACCTGCTTTTCTGTGCCATCAGTTGACCACTTTTCCCATATGTGCTGTGTACTCCCACTGTCACTTGCCTCACCCTAGTTGTTCAAGCAAGATTCAGTTTAGCATGTAAGAGCATGAATGAAGATACAAAAGAAAAATACCATGAATCTGGACATGGTTATCGTTAATCAAGAAAGCACTGACATATTATCATTCACCACTATCAGTGCATCCATGCTATGATGGCACAAAATTGACATCATGTCTGTTTTCAAGATTGATTGCAGACCCAAGAAGGTAGGTCAGACCACAGTGAAAGCAGGCCTGGCCACATATGTTATACCAATAAAACAAAGTTGGCAATTCCTTGGTAGACGTGGAAAATATGATCGTGACTAGTCAACTCACTAGTAAACAAAGAACATTCTTTGTGACAAACAGTAATAGATGTGGTTATTGCTGAACAAGAAAAGCCAAGAGGAACTCATGATATGAATGATTATGACGCTGTTCTGTTCTATGTAAGTGAAAGGGGTTGAATAATTTGAGGAAATGAACCACAATTTCAATCAAAATAATTTCATAAAGAGCTTCTAGTCTAAAACCATATATTCTTGTTAGCGTTACCTTAACTGAGAGTGGAATATCAGCAACCAGCTGTGCAACTGCACCAGCACCACCCAGTCTGCTCATACTCAAAACCTGAAATTTAAGTATAGCGATCCATATTAAATAGATAAAAAGACATTGGGTGTTCACTGTTGCTTATGATGTTAAAGACAACACTGCATTTAAAAAACATACCTTTACTTGAAGCCTAAGAAACTTCACATAATCAAGGATCTCATCTAGCATGGCCGCCCTATCTGTCTGCACAGTTAGAAGCAATACATCAATCTCGCTATTCAACTTTTTTTGGATTAACAGATGGAAGCTCAATATCCAGTTGATATGGTATCATTTATCGTTCGCAATAATCGCATAATTATTCGACTGAACCAAAAGTGGTATTCCTATTATTTCAACCAGTATGCAACATACTATTGGTGAACACGGTTATGCACTTATGAGGGAACAACAATTATCATCTCTGCAGATAATCATGTTCATAAGACAAAAAGAACTAGACACACTATGATAAACCCTACTGTCAGGTCATCATAAGCCTGGATCACTTGCTGAAAATTCCATGGTAGGCATGTCAAACACGCAAGTATGACATCCGGAAATATGGCATGAATTATTACCTTGTTTGTGTTGGGGACCAATTCCTGCAATGCCCTCATCCTTTCTGCAATTCTCTCTCTCCTTAGCTGCATCGGAACACATGGAGGTTTTAAAGAAAAAACTGATAAGAATCCCTATCAGAATTCACAAAAGCTTCACTGTAAAATAGAAAGTTCAGCTAGAAAAAAGGATGTGGAAGTTAACACAAGTAAAAGACAAGCAACATGCCAGTCTTTCCATTTCGAAAGGCTATTGTAATGCATTACCTAATTAACAAGTGGCTTACACCTTGAAACACAATGATTAGACACTTCTCCAGTAATCATAGCACACTCAGTAGAAAACAAGTTTCCAGTTTGATGTATGAACTGTCCAAAACCGGGGTGACTTCCAATACAATGCAACATCATGGTTATGCTGCAAGTAGCTCATGATGCTTAAACAGCACGCCATATGCCTCCACCACATCGTCCACCCGTGACCCCACAGCAAGATACAGCAAGATACGAAAGCAACGTTTTCCCTTCAGCACATCCAGTTACTTGCACCGCAACATCCGCTAATCTAGCTTACGCCCGAGAGATAGAGAAGCACGGGAGCAAGCAAGTTCCTGATAACAGAAAACGGCACCTGAAATCTCGTGGGCCACTACTGGCTACTACAGCAACCGCAGATTGCGCAGGCGTCTGCACTGAGACGACGAAAGTGTGGCCTAAATTGCAATTATTCTACATGCAAGGGTGGAGTTCGTCAGGTATTTACCCTCTCCGCGATACTGTGGGGATCGGTGGCCTGCCCCCGCCGCGCGCGCACCTTGGGCCGCGGGGCTGGCGGCTGCGGCGCCATGCCTCCCTCGCCCGGCTTCGGCTGCGCCTGGAACATCTGCGTGGAACTGGCAAGAATCAGCAGTAGCCTCGAAAATTCCCAGAGAGAGAGAGAGAGAGAGAGAGAGAGAGAGAAAAGAGGGCAGCATAGCGAACACCGGCTGGGGCACAAAATTGGTCCTGCGGCTGGTACCTGCTGAGGCGGTGGCCCGCGGAGGTGCGGCGGCTGCACGCCGCCGGCGCCAGCGAACACCGGCGGGAAGAGGCCGGCGAGCTGCACGGGGTCACGGTCCTGCGAAAGGCACCCACACACACACTCAGTCAGGCACTCAGCCGTGAACCCTCCTTCGCCCACAAGAACGCCCACTTCCACCTGGGCGGCCAGGACCAAGGCAAGTGAAGGAACCACCCCCTTGGGACTAGGGAGCTCACCGGCTTGGCCTCGCCGGCGGCGTCGAGGCTGAGGGCGAGGGGGAAGGGGTGGTCCCCGACGGCACCGGCGCCCGCGTGGCCCCCGGCGGCGCCGGCCGAGGCCGCGGAGGGGAAGGCGAAGAAGTGCTCGAGGAAGTCGTCCTCGGAGCCCCCGGGCGGCGGCTGCCCCGCCATGGCCGGCGACGTGGGGGCGGGGGGCGGGCGCGGACGGGGCCCACGCGTCAGGGCCCGAAGCTTCGGGCCGCTCGCGACACGAGACACACCAGGGGAAGGGAGGCTGGGAGCGGTTGGTCTGCTGTGGCCTGTGGGCGAGCGTGAAGCTGTAGGAGAGGAGAGGAGGCGGAGGCTGGGGTTGGGCGTTTCTTTAGTAGAGGCTGGCCTGCGGGGAGGGGAAGAGGCGAGGGGATATGGGCCGTGGGCTTTCTATGTGGGCCATATGCTCCTGAGGTAGGAACAGAATACGGAGTTGGGGTACACGTGCTTCTAACCAAGACAAAGAGTTAATTTAATAGTTTTAAGAGTCGAAGGGGTACACGTGCGTTTTTTTAATTCAAGAAAAGAAAACTGGACTTTGGGGTGGCATCTCCCAGAAGTTTTTTTTTCTATTTAGTCAGACTTGTGTGCTACTAAAAAGTTAAGGTAAGCCCATATTTTGGTAACTACAAACATGTTATTTGCTTGGCTTGCTCACTTAATTCGTCTCTTCTGGTAAGATTAGACTTCAAATTGGCTAACTCAAGCAAAACATGATCAAACTTAAGATAATTTGATTTAAGATAATGACAAAACGTTAGTCTTTGGGGATGAAACTATGGAGGTAGCAGCTAGCATTTACTATAGCGATTGGATCCAACCCAGCGCTTAATAAGGGAGAAAAAGATAGGAAGATGTCATTCTACAAATTTAGGTTATGTGTGTGAACGAGCCATGGACCCATGGTTGGCCCGCTCAGTGGAGCGCCACTTGCCCGAGTGTCGCACGGACTTTGTGTGAGGCGTATGTGCATGAGTTGCTTCGTAGACGTGCTTCGAGACTTTTTGGACAATCTCATACGTGTTTCCACTTGTGCTCTTATATGATAATGCCATTACTCCTGAATCCTGATGATGTTAAGAAAAGTAAATTTAGATCGTAAAAACAGCTACAGGACCTTTAAATTTTTGGCGATTTGTTGTAGAACAATCCATAGATACTCTGTCTAGTTCGGGGATATGTGAGTCGTGGAATGGAGAGGGTTTTTTTTTCACTGAGATTTGTAGGCCCAGAACTGGATATTTGCGCGCACCCCGGCCCCTTTTGTCCCACGACACCGTACAAGTAGAATGGCACCACCGCAGAGTCTAACTCTACTCCAGGCTTCTTTCTAGGGGGCGAGACTTTGCAATGGAGGTCGCGGAGGGAGAGGGAGGCATTATATAAAAGAATGGGAGAGGCACGAGTGTTTTGGGAGTCTGAACTGAAAAAAAGGATGAGGATCTTTAGGCGCGCGCTACTTTAACTTTTTCGGGTTTGTCCGTCCCCGTCGGGACTCCCGTTGTATATCATTATCGTTTTTTTAACTAAAAAGGATGAAATCTCACTAAAAACTGCTTCTAACCAAGACAAAGAGTTAATTTAATAGTTTTAAGAGTCGAAGGGGTATACGTGCGTTTTTTTAATTCAAGAAAAGAAAAGTGGACTTTGGGATCTCCCAGAAGTTTTTTTTTCCTATTTAGTCAGACTTGTCTGCTACTAAAAAGTTAATATAAAATTTATATTTTTTAACTACAAAATGTTATTATAGTTGATTGCTCACTTAATTATCTCTCTTCTGGTAAGATTAGACTTCAAATTGGATAACTCAATGATCAAACTTAAGATAATTTGATTTAAGATAAGGACAAAACGTTAGTCTTTGGGGATGAAACTATGGAGGTAGCAGCTAGCATTTACTATAGTGATTGGATCCAACCCAGCGCTTAATAAGGGAGAAAAAGATAGGAAGATGTCATTCTATTCTACAAATTTAGGCTATGTGTGTGAACGAGCCATGGACCCATGGTTGGCCCGCTCAGTGGAGCGCCACTTGCCCGATGTTTTGTGTGAATTATGAAGGGATGAAATGTCTCTTCTTTCTGCCCTGTGCGAACACCAGCTGAGACGACGGAAACGCAGCAGAAGGCAACCACCGCGGAAACGAACGAGACGCTGCGTCTGCCGTCCCCGTCCGCGTGCGGCGGCATGACGCCAAACGCCATGACGGGATGGAGGGTGGAAGAAGCCGTGCCACGCCCGCAGCTGCGTGACTCTGACTTCGGAAGCTGGGAAACGTCGACGAGATCACGACAACCACGGGCGAGTCCAAGCGCCGCGTCGCATCGCATCGCACCAGCCACCAGTCGTCCTCTGAATCTGGCGGCCGACAAGACAAAAACCAAGCATCATTCCATTTCCATCCTTGATACAGTAATCCCTTCAATTCCTCTCCCTCTCAAGTCTCATCAACCACAGCACACAGCACTGCGCAGCTGCATGCAGGAACAGAAAAGGTCCATTCGGGCGGTGAGAGGAAAGTGCCTGCCTGTCAATTCTCCCTCTGACAGTAGCAAAAAAAAAAAAACTAATCACTCCGTCAATTTCTTTTTTCAATTATCACAGCCCAAATAGTCAGACGATTTCAAAATTGATCGAATTTGAAAAAACTATAAACATTTATAATATCAAATAAGTATCACTAGATTAAGCGTAAAATATTTTTTATATTAAACATATTTAGAGACATAAATATAATACCATTTTTTATAACCTTGATCAAATTTAAAAAAATGTCCTCTCTTTCAATCCTAGAATTATGTTCTTTTTTAGGGTGGAGGGAGTAGTTCACTAAATCCATGTGGCCGCTCGTTTCAGCTTTGAACGGCTCCATCACCACTACTTTTGATCAATATTAAGGGCATGTTTATCTCATCTTCATTAGTAAATCTTTTTTTTTTTTGCTTGGGTTCCATAGAATAGCTTCACTGATAAAGCAGAAAGATGGAGAAGCTAGTATCTTCAGCTTCATTCAGCTTTCACATGGGAACTGTGCATATGAGAGAAGTTGAAAAACAACTTTTAGGGAAGTTGTTTCATCCGGTCCTCTTTAGTGGAGAAACTGAAAACAGATTTACGTAGTTGACCCAAAATATGTACGTCTGTACCAAATACTCTCTCCATCCAAATTATAAGATGTTTTGATTTTTCTATATGAATTTGCTTTTATATGTATCTACTAGATATAGTATATATTTAAATGTATATTAAAAACTACGTATCTAAAAAAAAAAGTCTAAACGTCTTATAATTTATAATTTGAAATAACTGGAAGGAGTACATCCAAAGCTTTGTCCAATACAAGCAGCGCACGGCGTCGTACGTCGCCCCTCCTGCTGCTTCTGTGTTGCTTCCTCTCCTATCTCCTGGTAAATAAGCAGAGGGCAAGGACCGGCGTCCACGCGAGAGCCTGAACCTCAAATCCAACTGCCTACCTACCAATGGTGATCTGGCACAAGGGTAATTCTCTTCTTTTTGACGACTGATCTTGCGGGGTCAGGGTGGATTAATTGGTGGTAATCTTCTTCAAATTAAATATAATCAAACGTCACGGATGGTAACATATGAGGATCCCATGTAATTCTTAAACCTCAAGCACCTGATATGTCGGAGTTGTGTAAAAATAACATTGTTGTGCCTATATAATCAAATTGGTGTAGACATTTTTTAAGACGAGCAAACATACGAGGATCCCATCTAATTCGTTCTTGGTTGAAGATGGACAAGGCTATCCAACTGAGGAGTATTCATTAAATATGCTAAACGGAGCTAGTGATCCCGGAATTTTTGTTTGACGACGAGGGCATTCACCTTTTTGGTCTAATGGTGATTATATTAGTTAAATAAACTATAATCCATTTGTTCCAAATTGTAAGTCGTTATGACTTTTCAATATATATAGCTTTTACATGTACGTAGACATAATATATATTTAGGTACATAACAAAACCCGTGTACCTAAAAAAGCTAGAATAGCTTATGGTTTAGAATGGAGAGAGTATTTAGTATTTGAAAACATGAGATTATGATTGATAAGTGTTAGTGCATTGAATAGTACAATATACAACATATGACGTGATTATAGTGCAATATATTAGTGATAATGGACTTATTTTCGTTGCTAACTAGTGATTACTCCCTCTGTCTTTAAACACAAGGTATAATATCTAAGCAATTTTAGGACCAAATAAGGAGTCCTACAAAATAACTCTCAATAATTAGTTAGTTCAGTCGTTAACGTGCTTAATTTCTAGTAAGATATAATTTAAAAAACAAATATGCATGTCATTGATTCCGGTTACCAATTACATGAGTCATTAGGCCAATTTCATTGGGGGTTCATTAGAGTTTCGTGGACGTTAAATAAGTTGACATGGCATAGTATAGATGAAGAGAGAGGTAATGACGGTTTCATGGGGTGAAATGAGTTTAATGAGGATGCAACTTGTCTACACCGATCCTAATACACGAGAGTCTTGAAAACTGGGACGTTGACAGTTGGCATCCTAGCCTTATGGAAAAGATGGTGTGTAAAAGATATATGCATGGATGCATGTTTGGATGAGGCTTAAACACACATGTATATAGTTGAATAATTTAAAATACCTTATAGTTTGAGTAAATTTTAAACCTTTAGTACCTTATATTTCAGGACGCAGTGAGTTTTAAGTTATACGACCGACGGGTATTTGTATGTGTGGATTAGTATCTCACCCCATCCGACATCCGTCCGTCCTAGTCATTCGAACGAAATAAAGAAATTGGTTGATCCTATACATCCGCTCAAACAATTAAACAACTTGGATAGTTGTGCGTGCCTAAATTTAACCCTAAAAACATGGATGGTGATCGCATTCACATTTTAAACTAATCCTCGCTAAACACATACTCGGTGAACAAAGGATTCACATGGTAATTTCAAAAAAAAAGATTCACATGGTTCTCGGGGGAAAAAAAAGAATTCACATGGTTGAAAAGCCTAGTGCTTGAATCAACAAGCGGAGAAAATGTTGCCAAAAAAACAAAACAAGCGGAGTAATATAAAGAAAAATTATTAAACGCGCACGTGGTTGCAACAGATTCAGCCATAAATCAGAAAGGCA